TATACTCAATACAGAACCTGGCACAAAGTTGGTATTCCATAAATAGCAGCTATTATTATTGTAAGTGGTAACTTTTGTCCAAAATTAGAGAAGGTGAAAAGGCTTTCATTAAATAGAATTTAGATGGTAATTCTTCTCACAAAATTCTGTAGATTTTTAAAGATAATTTTTAAGAGAAATTTATTGACATTTATGTGATTTTTTGATACACTGAGTCAAGAATGCATGTTTTTTTTTTCCTTGTTACAAAATCCTTGGAGATAGGTGCAAAGGAGATAAAAGATGGATGTTCTTAATTTTTGAGGTAGGAATTTATTTCTTCAGAAGCAAATATGTGATGTATGTTTATTTTTGTGCCACTTGACAGAAGTGCCATAAACAAAAACATGGGTACAGCTTGGGAAGATGTCCAGGTGTGATTCACTGAAGTTAAAACACTAAGTCAGAAAAAATCTCTACTGAAGAACTATTCCTTGATAATACATGAATATTCTAACCCAGAGCTTTTATACCACACAGCATTTGCTTTATAGGTCATAATCCAGTCATTATGAGTGAAATCCGATCTGTGATTTTTCATATGATAAAAATATTTCTCTATGATGTCCAATTGTGGGTTTCTACTTTTATTTATAAGAAAACAGAAGCTGTCGAAGAGGTTTCAAGCCCTGCTCCAATCGTCGTTGTGTTCCTCATAGCAAGTTATGTGATGGTGAAAATGACTGTGGAGACAATTCTGATGAATTAGACTGCAAAGGTAAATACTTGCAGCAGTCTAGGAGTATTTGTCTGCTAGGTGTCTCCTGAACTTTTCCAAAGTTGTTTCTGAGATCACTGTGGTATGTAACAGCTAATGACATCTCTGAAACACTCTTTGATGCATGCTGCTGGAGTGGAGTTACTGAAGTTAAGTGAAAGTTGTGACTGTATTCCCTATTTCTGGTTTCTGCTACTCCTTTGCACACTTTGAAACTCGTGTAATTTGTCACCTTTCCAGTTCTATCCTCTTTGTTTTTTGAACATTTCTACCAGAATGTGTAATGCTGAATTTATTGCTCAAAAGATGTTCCCCTTTGTTCCATAATTTCTGTTTT